CTTGCAGATTTTGATCCGAAACCGCGCCACTGATCTTGACGCCCGCATGCACGACGGAACAACACCACTGATTCTGGCTGCCCGATTGGCGGTTGATGGCATGGTGGAAGAGCTTATCAACTGCCACGCTGATGCTAACGCCACCGATGATTCTGGTAGCTAGAATTTTTTATCAACCCATCATCTTCACAGTCCATTAAGATCCTTTAGTGCGGTTATGATAATTAACCCTCTCCCTTTTCATTCTCCCTGCAGGTAAATCTGCTCTTCACTGGGCCGCGGCTGTAAACAATGTGGAGGCTGCTATGGTGCTGCTGAAAAATGGTGCCAACAAAGACATGCAAGACAACAAGGTATGGGAAATGATGTGACTATGATGGAGGTATTGGACAAGTATTTACACTAGTAGAATGCCTCGTGTATTAACAGTTTTTTTTTTCTTGGTTACTTTTTAGGAGGAGACACCAATCTTCCTTGCTGCTCGGGAAGGCAGCTTCGAGACGGCCAAAGTTCTTCTGGAGCACTTTGCCAATCGCGAGATCACCGACCACCTCGACCAGCTGCCCAGAGATATCGCCAGCGAGCGCATGCACCATGACATTGTTCGCCTTCTGGATGAGTACAACGTTGTTAGGAGTCCCGGGCTTCACAGCGCCCCCCTAAGCACCTCCAGCCTCTCCCCACCTCTCTGCTCCCCCAATGACTACCTTAGCAACCTGAAGCCTGCCCTGTCTGTCAAGAAGGTTCGCAAACTTAGCTCGGGTGGAAAAGGAGGGAAGGACAGTGGAAAAGATAATAGAATGAAGAAGAAAAAGTCGTTAGATGGGAAGGGTAACTTGCTTGACACGTCGGCTGTCCTCTCCCCGGTTGATTCCCTTGAGTCACCGCATGGCTATCTGTCTGATGTGGCCTCTCCTCCCATGACATCACCCTTCCAGCAGTCCCCACCTATGTCTCTAAATCACCTACAAGGCAATGGAGACCATATGGGCCAGATGAGCATGGGTAAGGATATGGGCTGTATGTCTTTTGACCCCAACCCACCCCGTCTCTCCCACATGCCTGTTTCCAGCCCCAACAATCAGGGCACATCCATAGGTGGCAGCCGAGGAGGCCAGTGTGACTGGGTCACCAGGATGCACCCAGGTGTAGGCCAGCAAGGAAGCTTTGCTCAGGCACAACCCATGTCCCACAACATGATGGGTGCTCTGCATGGCGTCAGCACTGCCACTCTGTCTCAGATCATGGGCTACCAGAATCTGCAGACCAGCCACCTCGGGTCTGCTGCACACATGATGCAGCAAGCTCACTCGCGGCAGCTCCAGCACCAGAACTCCAACTCCACCACAGCCGGACAGTCCCTCGGACAGAGCTTCCCAAACATCGAGCTGAACGGCTCCGAAATGCAACAAAACAACGGCTCAGGTCGTGGTATGCCCATCCACACTGTTATGCCCCAGGAGACACAGATCCTCGGCACCCAATTTCTCACCCCTCCCTCCCAGCACAGCTATTCTGGCCCCATGGACAACACACCTAACCACCAGCTACAGGTGCCTGATCATCCATTTCTAACTCCCTCCCCCGGCTCCCCCGACCAGTGGTCCAGCTCGTCCCCACATTCCAACATGTCCGATTGGTCGGAAGGCATCTCCAGCCCGCCCACAAGTATCCATTCGCAGATGAATCTGATCCCAGACCAGTTTAAGTAGAGACTTGTAAAATGGACAAAACTCGTTAGTGGAAAACAATATATAAAGAAAGTTCATACAGAAAGAGAGTAACAAACCTGCCTCCAGACTGAACATGCTCCTTTTTTATTATCAGTTTTTATACTAACGATAAGAACAGTTTTAGTTATTTTGTATTTATTTATGTGCTTTTTTTGACCTGAAATATAAAGAAGATGCTTTTATATTTATGCTTTTTTGTTATTTTTTCGTTCTGTAATGTATGGGAAGATTAGAAACCGTTTAAAAGGAGTGTATATCAGAAGAAAAAAAAGACTCCTAGATGTGTACACTGGCTATTTATTTGTGTCTTGTGTTGCTATATTCACTGGATTTATTTTAATCTTTTGATGCATCGGCCTTCATAAATTTTATTTTTGGGATTTGCATTACGTTATGTCTGTACAGATTTTTTTCAACTTTTATAGATTATTTTAAATTTTCAGTATTAATTAATTATATTTTAACCTCCTTTGTCTTTTAAAGTGACACAGGTTTTGTTACTGAACTACATTTCACTAAGTCTTATCACTGAGTCTGTGTTAGATGATGATCAAATATATATATAAAGTGTCACCTTCCTAATGTTGCTTGCTACACTGTCCTCTCTTGGCAAAATGATGGAGAGTAACTGAGCTGAGTAAACGCAGATCTTGTAATTTAATTTTGGAGATTTGGGACCTTTAAGCACAGAACAAATATCCCTTATCAGTTGAGAGATGCTTTTCAAAATGAGTGGAAAACGCACCTAAATGAACCTGAGCCTATTTTTATTGAACAATGGTCTGGGCTGGTGCTGAGTAATTGATTTGTGATCATTTATGATGAAAGGACTTTTTCTTTATTTCATATTGTATCCCAAATCAGTGATTATGGTTACCATGTTTAACCTGTTAAGTGTTACATTGCAGACCTGTTGTAGAAAGTTGAAATGTTACATTTGCCACAGTTTAAAATAGTGCCAGTGTGATTTTTGTTTTTCCTAAGAAAAGCAACATATTTGTGAGATTTCTTGTAAAAAAAAATGTCTTCGAAGTGGAGAACATTGTTTGTGGAAGAAATGGGGACCTTTGTTTGTGTGTTTAACGGCATCACCTGCACTTTGCAAAGGAGTGTGGTTTAAGGTGTCTAAATGTCATGTTTTATAAACTAATTCAGAGATAAAGATGTTTTTAAGAAAAAATGTAATTCAAAAATCAATGTTCATGCAAAGTTGTAGTTTGCAAAGAAGTATTTCCTGATTAAAATGTTTTGTAAAAATTGTCTTGATTCAATAAAAACTGCTGTCAAGCTTTAAGATATGGTTTTATTTTATTTTCTGAAGTATGATGTGACTGACAGTATGGCCACCTCATCTGGAGTAGTCAAACTCACCCATGGCATTAAAAGGTAAAGTATCACCACAGGTGTGGGTGTTTGCTGCTCTCTAGTGGTGATAGTATGAGACTACCACAGGAAAGACAACACTGTTGGTGCTGAAAATCATTCCAGTTTATTTCAGCTAAGATTTTAGTCTTGAATAAATGAGTGGATACAACCATAAAAACATAGGCACTAGTACAAACAGGATGTTGATATTATTCTTTGCCTGTAGAATAAGATAATCAGATTCATAGATGTGCGCTGGATCCTTGGAAAAAGACAGAAAAATAGCTGGTTCAGTCTTATCTAGAGATGAACAAATGTCATGATGGGATTCAGTCTACACACAAGACATACCTCATATGTATTCATGTTCAATTCTCCACACTAAATGTGGTTGCTTACGGGGATCGCTACTGTATATGCATTTGTCTGGGATTGCATTGTTATCTTTGTTTTAAAGCCACTGACTATTTGGAACCTTGAGTATGAAAAATCATTTTGTGCACAGCTGAAATTGAATTTGAACAGTCTGTTAATCCATTCAGAGCAACTCTCCTAACACACCGAGAAAACCAAGGTTACTCTGTTTCCCTTAGACTTCTGTCTGTAAAAACCTCCTGCTGTGAGCACATGGACATCACAGGAAGCTGTGCTATATACGCTGTTCAATTGGAAGACAATGGGACAAAAGATTTTATCCATTAATCACTTAAACATTCCATAGATTAGGGCCATTGTTTTTTAGTTCAGCCAAAATTGCAATTCACAATGTCGGGAAATGGGGGTTTTAGGTTGTGGAGAATGGGATTAGTGGTGCTTTTATAGCCTCAGGTATCCCATCAGCAAACACTGGAGGGCTTCCATAATCCTCCAGTATTGATAATAATTCAATATCAAACAAATAAATAATATATTACGAAAAAATACTCATATTAGTTTCATATTAATTGTAAAATATTGTGTATTCTTTCTTTTTCTTACATATATTCTATAGATTACTGTTGCTTGAAATATTTCCTGTACGTTCTATACAGATCCAATACTTGTATTTTGGTGTTGGTTAGTTCAGTGGTGTAGTGGTGCCTAAAGAAGTGGGTATACTCTTAATTTATGCCCCAAATTTTCTTTTAAAAGGGCCCATCCAGCAAATAATAAACACCCTGTGATATAATCAGGGACATGTAATACTGCTCTTGTATATTGACTGAGTTCAGCCACAGAAGAATCAAGACTGACCCACAGAGGGGGGAGACAACTGCCTTCTTATAATTATGTAAAGATATATATATATATATATATATATATATATATATATATACATGAAGAATTCCTTATTCCTTATTCCATTCACTCATTAAAATTGGACAATTATGTCACGCCTTTGCCATCCTAGTAAAAAAATGACTCAGAATAGTGAATGAGGGAGGATATAGAAGTAGGTATACCTAATGACAACTGAAAAATAAGTGGGTATACTGGACCTATTACTTAAATAAATGCATGGTTGCAAGATTAAAACTTTTAATTTATTAATTTTAGATACATTATTTTGATTTGCCATAATTAAAAAAGATTGATGCAAACTGTTGCATTAATTTTAAGGCTAAAAACTGAAAAACAAAAACAACAACAAAAACAACAACAAGTTATTTGCGGGGAAAAAAATCGCATTATGAAATAAAACAGACATTAAATAATTAAATTAAAAAAAAAAGAAAGTTTGCTTATTCATATTATTCTTTATTTCATAGTGTCTTTTTCTTTTCTTTTTAAAAAAAAAATATATATATCTAACATTAAAACGTGTATTCTGTCAGTGTTGCAGTGCCACAAACATCCAGACCAGACCACCGTTGATACAGGCCTGCAGCGCCCCCAGCAGGTGAACAGTTGTATTGCAGCCGAGCTGACAGAAGACCACAGTCGTCCCCATAGAGACAGGCTCCGACAACAGGGCTGCCCGTTAGACCCGCTACCCCTCTGTCTCTGTCTCTGTCTCTCTCTGAGGCGATGGCAGCGACACTATGAAACCACCGGCTCTTGTACGTTGATAATTTCCTCGAAAACATACATCCGGATGGTTGCCAAACAGATTTTTTATTATTGGATTAACGACCATCAGCCGCCAGCCAGCTTTATCCTGAGAGGCCGGAGATTTCGTGTCGCCGTGCAGGGAGGAGTCCCTCCGTTATTTGACCGTTAACACCCGAAGCCATCATGTCGGCGTTTTAACAACACATCTCAGACACTAAAAAGCCTTGAGAGGACCCAATGCAGTCTTAGAGGTGAGGCTTTTTTTTTTGTTCGTGCTATGTCGGTTTATGTTTCGGGGTGTGTGCGTAGTTTAGCTGTAGCTAACCTTAGCTAACGAATGAACTTACATGGTGCGAGGTTGGTGTTGGGTCATTCATTGGTGTCCCCCCGTCCAGCCTCCACTGGACCTGGCTGGACAATAACCAACTACCACCAGCTGTCAAGGAAAGCTAGTATTTTATTTGATGTTTGGTGGCTAATAAACCCAATGAGCAGCTCTCATTCAGGTACCAAAGTGCAGCTTTTTCTTCCACATCACCAGCTGAACCTCAGCCGAAACAATATGCAAATAAAGGATGCTTGGGTGGGATTTAAAAGTGCATATAGATATATATATATAGATATGGTCAAAGCTTAAGAATCGTGGTGACTTGGCAGCAGACAGCTACAGCGCCAGCAGGTTAAACAAGGTGAGTCTATGTGTAGTATTTCATGTTATCCAGGGAGCAGGTGCTGTCAGAGAGCCAGGCCCCTGTTGTTGTTCCTTATATCGATGATGTAATGCCGTCGGCCTGCGACTGGCAGTAATGTTTCTGTGTCTCCTCCGTGCAGGATGAATGTGGAGGTGAGTGCTGGCAGGGACAGCACCAGGAGGAGAGCAGCGGCCGCAGCAGCAGCAGCAGCGGCGGCGGCGGATGATGCTGGTGGAGGAGGCATGGAGGCTCAGGTTGTACCGCTGGAGCTCTACGACTCTGCAAGAGCCAAAATAGACGCAAATCTCCGCTGGCTGTTTGCCAAAGCCTATGGTATAGGTAAGGCTTCCCCCTTGTTTTCCTCTCACGATTGAGACTTTGAATTGTTTAAAATACTTATTTATTTATTCATTGGAGAACTGAACTCATGCAGTTTAGTCTGGTCTAGCTATGCAGCCTAGGGTGAATGTGTACATTAATGATAAAATATCAGCAGCTGCACATGTTATAGTCTATACAGCCTTAATATAGACTCTGCACTGTGGTTGCATGAACAGTTTAGTTAATGCAAAAAATCCAAGTCGATTGAGCCTGAACAGTTGCACGCTGTCTTACAGAACAACAAAAACAGCCTTTATCACAGTTAAGCCAAGGCTAAAATAACAACACATCTTTTAACAACGCATACAGTAGCTGTATTTTTACCAGTACTTGTATTATTAGCTGATATTCTAAAGGCCAGTCACATCAGTTTGGTATCAGTGAAATAGAATATATAGTACATAATGTACACGACCTGTGCATGAGAGGATGTAGAGATGGTGGTGGTGTTGATACACAGTTGTTATATAAGGTCCACATCTCTCTTGCTTCACCCTCTCTTTCCGAGCACAAAGGAAAAACTAGTATGCCCCTATATAGAGCCAGTGTTTAGTTTGTCCCTTCTGGGCTATTGTAGAAAAATGGTGATTCAACATGGTGGACTCCAGGGAAGGCAGCCTGCAGCATCTGTATATATATGTATATATATATATATCATTCTGTTATATTACATAGATCCTCCTAAAAGTTATAAACTGGACCTTTAAGTCACCTTTCAACCAAAAATGCCCAGCTTCTTAAATGTGACTATTTGCTGCTTTTTGTGGTCTTATGTGAAAGTAAACTGAATATATTTGGGTTTTGGACATTTAAAGCCACCTTGGGCTTTAGGAAACCTTTTTTTCTGAACATTTTCTGACATTTTATTGACCAAAATCATGTCGTCATCCATGAATCAAGAAAGCAATCAGCAGATTAGTTGATAATGAAATTAATCATTATTTGCAGCCTTATATTGGAATACTGGTATTACCATCTGATATAATAGAGGCCTAAAACAGGGTTTAACCCAGAGAGTTGTGTAGCCGACGCAGTGAGCCACCCATATCTTTACGCATCTCGTCTTGAGATCCATTTAGATATCAGATGACTGCCCGCACAGTAGTCACATACACTAAATATACACCATTTGCTCTGTGAAATTACGCATTTGCTGTTCTCTCATAAAGATTTATGTTTTATCTTCTAAAAGTATAGTGTAGTGCTCTTTGTTTACAAGTGAAGTAGCTCACTGCCGCTATAAAACACTGCAGAAAAAACCCCTGCTCAGTTTGGTATCATTTAGAAACAGCGTTGATATTATATGGTCCAAAAAGACAATAACAATACATCTTGTCTAAATATTCAGTTCCCAGAAATGTTGAAATAAAGTTATTGAGTAACATCCCTAAGATTGTCATTTGTAAATGTAAATAAACCTCCTGAGCTCTTCATACCGTGACATTAAAGCAGCAGTCCAGAGCTTGATGATTGTGAGTGAAGATTTAGGCCGACATCGCACAATCAGCCAAAGTCTTTTATACACAGGTCACTAGCCTTGCCATCTCTGACGAGCCCTACTGAAACATTAAAAACGATTGCTCCACATTGCCAGTCTGTAAGCAAACGTCTGCAAATGACTCCTTGAATGTGGGTTTTTGTGTCACTCACTGACTGCTCTTTGGTGAATGTGACCATGCAGCTCTGCTAGTGGTGTTGTTATCAGTTTTTGGAAGGCCACACTGAGACAGAGATTCAGTGAAGGAAAAATCTTTGTCATCATATCCATTTTATGAGCCAGACTCATTGTAGTTTAAGTGTTTCCTGCCCTGCAGTGCTGTCTCCTGTGTTGCAGTGGATGACTCAGTAAATTGAATCTGAGAGAGGGAACAAATCCCTAAAAGCAGTCGATCATTAAGGATATTGTGAAAATGAAAGTGAAGAATACTGAAGTATATTCCAAATACGTGACTCATCCAGTGATTGCACCATCAGTATGACCGATCACATTAATCTCCCAACAGCTGGAGCATTTTTATGTTTAACAGAGATTTTGGAAATATCCAGAGCTCTGTCTCGCTGATCACAGCTTTGCCTCTCTGTTACCCAACGCTGTGTTGTTCCAGGGCAGAGATCAGATGCCCATAATAAACACAAAACCATCGCCCTTTCCCTTGTCAGGCTTCCTGCTTCCCTTAATCTGATTGGCTCCTCTTGACGTCAGTGTGCCAGGGACACTTACGAGCCCTTTACAGCTGATAGACTGAGTTCTTGCACTCTTACAGTACTAGTATTATATGATTTGATTGTTATCATAACAAGTACATACAGTAGAGCTGGTACAATCGGTGTAGTTTTGTATATCTCAACTATAGCTTAGTTTTTTTTTTTTTGATAAACTCAGGTACCAGTTGAAATAAAATGACCCAACCGCACTTGATTTTTTTTATGTACCTTCTGCAACCATAATCTGTATGGAATTATCAGCTATTCAGTTCTTCCTGCTTTACACTCAACCCATTTATTCCCATTCCGACATTCACCCTGATTTCCTTTGGTGGGGCCACTGGTGAGAGTCACTACCCATCTTAATGTTATGTAGGGCGGCAATGATTATTTTCATTGTCGATAAATCTGCTGATTACTTTCGCAATCGGTCTACAAAATGTTAGAAACAAGGGGAAAAAATGTGCAGAAAAATCAACGGGTTTCTTGAAACTTAAGGTGGCAACTTCAAATTGGTTATTTTGTACAACCAACAGTCCAAAACCCAACGATATTCGGTTTATAAGACAATCCTCACAAATTAGAATCTGAAACTAGGAAATATTTGACATTTTTGTGTTAAAAACTCATATCTAATGATCCATGTACCGATCCGATGCTAGTGCTCTCTTTCTCCGCCATTTAATATCTGTATACCTCACTGCAAAGAACTTATTGGAATCATTTATGTGAGTTAACATTAGGTCAGGGATTACTGTGGCATGGGACTTGGCAACGGCCACCATTGAAGGAATGTAACGCATAGGGGAAACACTGAATTTTAAAATGACAGACACAAAGAAATTTGCACTGATACCAATCGGATTGGTGCGTCCTAGTCAGGCTTGGTACCTTTGAGATGCCCCTCAACTTTATTTGCCCTTATACTTTCTTATTCTGTGTTGCCATTGCAATGATGCTGTACCAAAACCGATTTGGAATTTAGGTTTAGGCAAGAATTAAATATTTTGGTTAAAAGACTATGATACCGTAAGACAGCTAACTGACTGGAGCTTATGAATATATTATAGTTTATTCTTGCAAAATATTGATGAATTAATTCCCACTGACACATAATGCAGCATAATTGCAATTTATAACTACTTAAAAAGCTTTAATGCTTTATTCTTGTTAATCCTATAATGTCTACAATAAACAACCCCTACTTAAAGGCAGTGTGTTCCTGTTTTGAAACATCTCGTGTTGAAATACAATGTGTCCGTTTTATGTTTGTTTTCTGTGAAACAATCCCTGGTCACTGATAATCAGTGTGGAGGTCAGAAGAACCAAAACACTCTTATTAGATTATTAGATTAGATTAGAGTGCAAACCAACCAACACAGCAGTGCTGGGAGGACTGTGTTGTCTCTGTGTGCTGGTGTGAAAGTCATCACAGCCAGTCACATGTTTAAGTGTTTAATGGGATTGGACGTGAAGGCTTGTGTCTTTGTTCATTGTTTGTTTGTTTGTTGGTTTAGACCTATGACATGATAATCAATGACATTTGCCACTGAGAAAGTGTGTAGTACACTTAAATCGCAATGTAGTTTTAATTCGTTTTTTAAATTAAATTTAAGATATATTTTCTGCAATACATATTTCCTAAGTTCCAGAAAAGTCCATTATTTTCTTCAAGTAACAGTGTGTTTCACCAGTCGCCTGTCAATGGCATCATATCCCCTTTGTGCATGTGTCAGTGTTGTGGTTGTCTTTCAGAAGCTGTCATAAATGGGCTTATTTATCTAACTTTATCCAGTTTTAAACCACACTTTTACAATATGCCTTTTAGATCTTGATCCTTTTTAACTATATATTTTAACAGGATGAAGGACACAAGCTGTGCAAATGCTAGCAGCCGCTCGGCTCACAGCCCCTCAAAAGCATCCTTTGTTTGCCAGACAGCATCAGAATAACACTGATATTTAAGGTACTAGTTTTAATCACTGGTTGGTTTTGGAGAGGAGGAAACCTCTGCAAATAATTGGGCTCCTGGTAAAAAACTCTTGAACGATGAACACTGAAGGAATCCTAATCGAGAGAAGCTGACTGCAATGACAGCAATAGTGGTGAAGACAACAACTCCCGCAATTGCACGCTTCTTCACAACATCATCAAAGTTCTTATTGTTTTGTTGTGGGAGACCCCATAAAGGCAGAAATTACATATCGTACGTTTAACTAATAATGGCTGTAATTATATTATGAGATGTAAACAATACAGAACTGCAGATGTCCACAACATGGCTGCTGAGAGCACGTATAGTAATTATAACATGCAGTGAAGTACCACTGCCATTAAATCAAACCACACACTACATGATGAGAGTGAAAACTATATTTACGTTTACAGCGAATAAAGCACTCGTGGAATAGCACATCGAAAGTATGAGCTCCATTAAACTAAAGATCCTGACAGATTGTCCTCATATACCAGCTTTTTCATTGTCTCTGCAGGGTCAGACCTCCAAGTGTGCCTACAGGGTACATCGGCTTAAAGTCTGTGTTTTCCAAACATACTGTCTTGTGGAGGATCCTCCATTAAGCCTTCTTATTGGAGAGGATAGTTGTGTCTTTCCCCTGCAGAGCTTGCAGAGTCTGACAGCCTCGCCCTGACTGTCAGCAAGATCTCTGCTGATCAATCTGACCTTGTGTCTGAAAGAATAGGAACAAAGGCTTTCCCTGCACCCCCTCCTCTTGATTTCCCCTCACACACACACACACACACACACACACACACACACACACACATGCACACCAGGGGTGGGCTTTAACAGTTGGATCAGGTGGATAATAAATATCTAAGTATTAGTAACTAGGATTAGAGAGCAGTTCCCCCTCCCCTACAATTCTTCACGCCACTCATGCATACACACCCACACCCACACCTCCTGATGTCAGGGACCATAAAATGATCCAATGAGCAGGCCTTGGTGAGGAGGAGATGGGACAGCAACCCAGCCCCCACCTCCGGCCATGCTGGCATCCCCCATCACCATCTCCACGGCAACTGGGGAGGATGAGAGGGCATTCTGGGACAGCTGAGGCTCTTCAGCCTGGCAGTGGCAGGGTAAAGAGAGACGTGTTTGCAAATCTGCATGGGGGAGACATGCAAGATTTGCTTTTGTTGAGAGGAACAAATGAGACACATCAGGGCAGAACTGGAAGGATGTATAATGAGCAATTTCTCACGTGATCTGAGATTCTCATGCCCATATGGCAGCACCACACAGCAGCAGAGAGTGAGATAGATACTGTAGGTAGACTGTGCCAAACAAGCAGTCTGTTATGAAACACCCAGCTAAGGTTGGTGTGTGTGTGTGTGTGTGTGTGTGTGTGTGTGTGTGTGTGTGTGTGTGTGTGTGTGTGTGTGTCTGTTTTCCACTAATGGATTTTATTTTGCCAGTTCATCTCAGTCAGCTGGCTTCTAACGTGAAGCAAAATGAGAGATGAGGCCATTGTTGAGTGGTTGAATATTGATCTATGTATCATTTTCCCCTCTTATTAAATATGGGGATTTTAAAGCCTAATTTCTAATTTGCAACCAATGATGAATGTCTACAAAATGACCATTATGCATTATAAAAGTGTGTGTACAGTTTTAATGGTAGGTCAAAGTAGCACCAGAAAGTAGCTTGCTCTGTTGTCAGATAGTGATAGTTTAAGATTTTGGCTTTCTTGCCAAGAGTTAGATGAGAAGAATGATAGCACTTTCATGTCTGTGCATTAACTATAAAGCTAGAGCCAATGATACAAGCACCTCTAAAGCTTGTTATATATCTTGTTTGTTTACTCCGTGCAAAAACTGAAGTGTATAAATTACAATTTATGACTATTTCTTGAACCCTAATATGCTTCTGGCTGTAGCTTCATGTATAGCATCAACTCTTGGTAGGAAAGAGAATAAGTTGTATTTTGCAAAATGTGTATCTTAATTGTTTTAAGTTATGTTCACTGAAGTAGGCATCTCCATGTATCACCACAGCTGATCTGGATGGTGAAATGTAATCAATACTGATTGTTATAATGGACAAAACAGCTAATATAAGACAAATCTTTCTTAAAAGAGGTATTTTTCTTAAAACAATTCAGTTTGGTAATATTAATCATTCAAGATTTAATCTTGAACCCCATTTTAATTCCAGTCATTCACTTCCTTTCCTTTTCATCATATATAACCATAACAGTTGCTAACTCTATCAGACAACAGTCTCCCTGTTGCCTGAATTTACCCAGAAAGTGCTGGAAGCTACATTTCATGAGTGATTCAGGCCTTAACTCTGGATTAACATGTCCAAGACCTATAAAAATAGATGCCCCATGAGCAGGGAAACACTAGGCTGGCTGGGACAACACCATCCGCTTAAGTATCCCCACTAAGTCCTGTTAGCTCATTGGCTTAAAGCCTCTGGTCCACCTATTGGTATTCAGGGTTGCTACCTGGCATACTGTTTTAACCATTGACTTTGTCTCAGTGCTCTCTTCCAGCACTGGTTTCTTCTAAGACAGTCTAATACCTTGAACGTCTGTGTCTTGGGTTCTTCTCTGTTACGTAACGTGGTGAGGCAGTGGTGGACACGTGTCGGCACAAAAATAGTGTGGATACATGGTCTGATTTGTGACTTAATAAGTAAAAAAAAACCACACTACCTAACCCCGTCTCATAAAGTACACATTCATTTAATAATACATATATGCTTGTCATTCTTTCCAGATCACATCCCTGCAGACCTGCGGGACCCCTTTTATACCGACCAGTATGAGCAGGAACACATCAAGCCCCCCATCATCCACCTGCTGCTGTCTGGAGAGCTTTACTGCCGGGTGTGTGGGCTCATCCTGCACGCTGAGCAGGCCGCCTCACTCCAAAGCCATCAGTCTGTTATCCAGGCCCTGTCCAGGAAAAGCATCTATGTCCTGCAGAAAGACAACATGCCTGTCTCTGATATGGACCTCAGCTCGGCTCCCATCAAGATGGTGGGTAGCTTAACCTTATGTCTAGTTTAGATCACAGATGTTATAGACTTTTACCCAAGCCCATCCTAATGTATTCTGAAACCTGTAATCTGCGTATTAACTATATTTGTCCTGTGTGCACATTGGTTCATGCAGATTTATGCTGTCTGTATTTTAGGAGTCTTGTGTGCTTCAAGTGGTCACTCAAATGATAAGCATCAGTGATTGGTATCATTTTCACTAGATCAACTCATTGAAATCACAGCCTTTCTGTGGTTTTTAAAAGCCTTTGGTATTCCTTTATTTGGCATTTCCTTCCTTTCAGAGTTTGTTTTAACATTAATAGATGTTATCGTTAATTGCATCTAAATCGTATGTTTTTCAACATAATGTTTGGATCGATGATACTGTGTAGGGTCAAACGTGTCAGAAAGAACAGTGCTTTCTCAGTCGTTACATTGTAGGCCCTCAATTTTACAGTTTTGGATCAGTCTCACCGTTCTCATCAGTGTTTTCAGATGCAGCAGATGGCTGTTTGTCTACCTGCTTAGCAACAAATGGTAGACTGAAAAAGTTAGACAACAACAAAGTGAAGCACTTACCAGTTGCAGAGCCAGATATTTCCCTTAAGAGTTAGAAAAGTTAAAAGGAGAATGAATGTTGGACTTACATTCATCAAGATTCCTAACACGTTCACCAAAGCTACTTTATAAGCTGATAATATGTCTGTGTTGGGTTTACAATTTGTTACACTGCCTCCAAATGCCAAAAAAATTCAATTGATAAGGCTTTAAGAATTGTTAGATAATTAGCCACTCAGGAAATGATCACTGCAGTAGTATAACCTAGTGAACTGGCAACCCACACTTGCCATCTGGTAACGAGCTATTGTGACTTTGTTTTCCAGAGCCAAATATTGGAGTATTGGAATAAATAATGCACCAGTGAATGTGTTTTTCAGGTTTTAGAGTGTGTTACTAAAATATTCATGAAGCAAAAATGAACCAAAGGCTCAGTATTTGTCATTTATATGAACCCATTCTTCAGAGGTATTAGTCATATCCCACAGGTGTGAAAACACAAAAGGCAACAAGCTGGCTGAGAAGCAGCAGTTTATGTTGTCTTTAGGTGTCACTATGAATGCAATATTTGCTCTCAGCTACATAGACTCATATTAAACTCAAGTGGAGAAACTGAACAGAGACCATCATTAGATGGAATAGATTCTTCGACAACCATTAATTGACCGTCTATCCGACTGTCATCTTAGGAAGTGTTGATTGAGAATGAGTTAATCTAGTGATATCTATCTTTTCCATTATCATGAAATCACCCTAAGTAAAAGAGAAATCAATGTGCCAGTGCTTCCAGCAAAACTCACACTTTCATTTTGTACAGCCTTAGCTTACCCTTGGACTTTTTGTACCAATAAAAAACAGGGTGTGAGTCATACAATAATGACACAGGCTGACAAGGATTTTGCTCTTAGAAGGCTGCATGTTGCAGGCAGGAAGTTCTGCCCTGTTTCCATGGCAACTCAGTGATGGAGCACCTCTTAACTCTCACTCTTGTGATTGTAAAATCTGATTTGTCTTCACTGTCAACAGAAAAGCATGCATACTGCATGTACTACTATTAATAATGTGGTACAATAGTTGTATGCGGTATAAACAGACCTTTGTTTTCCGATACATATTTACATTGTACAGAAATGTGACATGAGGCAGGAAATGTTTCTATTGTAACGTTCAAAGAAAACAAAAAATGTGTGTTCTTCCAGAGCTCCCACATCCACCTTATTGATGCCCTGATGATGGCTTATATAGTGGAGATGATCAGCATAGAGAAGGTGGTGTCCAGCGTTAAGCGATTTTCGAACTTCAGTGCCTCCAAGGAGCTGCCTTTTGACCTGGAAGACGCTATGGTCTTTTGGATCAACAAGGTAAGAACCATACCTGGGTGTTAATGTGTGCATTTGTGCCTTCATGTATTCGTTTTGACCGCCAGTACCTTTGTTGCTACAGGTGAACATAAAGATGAGGGAGATCATGGAAAAAGAGCTGAAAATGAAGCAACATCTGCTGGAGTCTCCCAGCCACCAGAAGGTAACACCCTGAGTGTCTCTTTGTTTTATTCCCTTGCCTCACACTCTCTTTGTCTGTCTCTTCTCACTGCTTCAGAAAAACCCCCCTATCTGTTGAATAGTGTCTTTCTTTAGTGATGTCGTTGCCTTTGTTTATTGTCCTTCTGGCTGGGATTTTACATGCATGCTTCACTTACTCACTGGGTGTATTAACTAGGTGTGTAGGTTTAGTCATTGGATCTTGTTTGCATTGTGATCTGATGAGCACCTCACATCACCTTTTGATCACAGATTCATGTATTTTTTTATTTTTTTTTTTTGTTTGGCGCTCCAAGTGTGGATAGCTTATGTCTGACACTGTGTCTCCTCTTCCTTGGACAAAATTGAGAAAACCCCCAACAACCCCACCTGAGGCGCAATTTTAAAATTATTGACTTTTTGTCTGTATGTCCACAGGTTTTCATCACAGGGCAAGTATGTTTCTGGATAGTGGAAAGTGTCATGTTCCAAGAATATAAGAACTATGTTGATGTTGGGACATGTCATACTGTCGAAGTACTGTCAAAAATATTTATAGTGCAACATAAAAAAGTCTATAATTGATATTATTAATGGATTCATGTTTATTTTTACTTAACTGTTGTTTTGGAATTATATTTTCTTTAATTTGGGCGGCTTTGGGGATGTAAACAGATATAATTTTGCCAAATTAGCAAAATGTAAATGTAAAAGTATTGTGAATTTGCTTCTATCGTTCCTGTTTGCAATGTACCCATAGTCCAATGACAGTAGTACAGACTTCTATTACTGGATTACTTCGATACGGAAGAAAACTAAAAAACACAATGATTCTCGGGCAGGTTCTGGAGTTATAGGGAGCTTCTTTTTTCTACGACTTCTGAGTGGATTTATGGACATTTATTTGTGATGGAGAACGGAGATCCTGTTGAGGTGTAAGACACAGTTTGTCATATCCACGTGGTCACATTTGATTGAGCTATGACTCTGCGCTCCTCCTTCTCTCCCACGCCTCCCTGGGGAGGCACGCCACACAGTTTGAAAACCTCTGCACTATGTTGACTCGGCTTGGTTCCCCTCAACCAGTCAGAAAAGCTGTATATTGCTAAAAGACGAGTGTAAGCACAGTGTCTTGATAGGCTGCTTCTTAGAGGGTAATGGGGTTGCATTAGTCTGAAATAATGTGACAACACGAAGTGAAATCATGAATTGATAGTTACAATATGCTCAAAAGCCTGTAGACATTCTTGACTCTCTCTGCCTAACCCTCTCCAGTTGTCTTTAAGATCAGATCTATCTCCATGGCAACAGGGGATGATCTGATTCCTTGTGACTTTATATGACCCTTGACTTGTCTGCTGCTCTTCCTCTTTGTGTCTCCCAAAACTTTCCTTCCCTTCCTGCCTCTTGGATACTAGTCTCCCTCCAAATGGTACTGGAAGCTTGTACCTGTAAGTGCAACCGCTAGCAATCTCCTGTGTGAGCGTACAGTGTGTGTGTATGTCTGTTTGAGATGTGTGTGTCAGTGTCAGATTATATGTACTGTCAATGGTCATATCAGACGGCATAAAAAGGAGACAAACTAAAAATAATAGCTTCTGAGATACACAAAAAACGCCTGAGGTGAATTAAGACCAATTTTCCAGAGAATGCAGTGATGTATAAAGTCAGTGATGTGCACAGTAAAGATGACACAGTGCCCCTTAGTGGCAAAGGAAGAAACAGCAAGCTCATAAGACTTTTTTTCCCCTGCTCGTTTGCTTTTTTACGTTGCATGAAACCCTTTAGCAATTGCTTCAGTTGCAGAGCAGAGCTTTCACATTCATCACCTTCCCTCCCCCCAAAAACAATAACACACTGCTGCACTTTCTCATTTCTTTTTAACCAGCAATGGCAGTTCTGACTTATTGTTGCCATAAAGCAACCTGTCTGGAGTCCAGTGGTTAAAGTCCACTCATCCGGTCACGGCTTGCCTCATTTCATTAACTTCCTCCGAATCATTTCTTTCTTCCCTCACCAGCCTGATATATTTCATGCTCTGGCCCACTGCTTATTGGAGCCTGTGGAGTTCTCTCGCGTGGTAATGTACTCACCATTGAGCTTTTTCTTAATTTCATCCAGACCTTTATTGTTTTCCCCCTTTTTTTTAATCATTTATCACATGCAGCAAGTACTAAACCCACCCTTACCTGAAAATGGAACATCTTTATCAGTCTTTATGAGTGAAGGCACACATTATTTCTCCACATGACAGGTCAGATGCACATGGTACTCCTCTAAAAGACTTTGCAAAGCTCCACCTGACCTAATCTGATAAAGACCATGAAGCACTGGATGCCAGTTACAGACACTTACTCTACAGTATATGTGTTAAAGACAGCCACAGGATAATTTGTGAGAAATGTTGTGTTTGTATGTGACAAGTGAGCATATGACTCTGAGTGTTCTGATCAGATAAATGTGTGTACTTTGTTTAAATGTGTGCCCTCTCTTGCTGTGTAGGTGCGTTACCGCAGAGATCACCTGTCAGGTCGAACATTTCAGCACTTCCCTCTGCTGGACGACCTGTTGAAGGATGTGTGCGACGGCACGGCTCTGCTGGCTGTGATCCACTTCTACTGCCCAGAACTCATTAGACTGGAGGGTACAGTAACACTGGACTGAATAAAGATATATGATACTGTGGTTGTTCCCTTGAGCCACAGCCCACCTCTCTGTTGCTGTTGTTGTTATATGACCCTTTAAAAGAATAGTTTGACATTTTGGGAAATACTCTTATTTGCTCTCTTGACAAAAGTTTGATGAGTAGATTACTCGCATATCTGGACGCTAGATATGAAGTTAGATCCAGGAGTGTTGGCTTAGTTTAGCTTTAAGACAGGATGCAAAGGGAAACAGCTAGCCTTGCTAGTTGTAAAGGTAGGCTAAATAAATCAGCCTACTATCACCTCTAACACACTATTTAAACATTATAGCTCCTTTTTTATACCACCTCCCAGCTAGATCCAGGCTAGCTGTTTTTCTCATATTTAGTGTACAGATATGAGAGTGGTATTGATCTTCTCATCCGACTCTCGACAAGAAAGCAAAGTGCATTTCCCAAAACTATTACAGCATACAGTATTCACCTGATAGTGTTGACCACTATATCCTGTTCTGTGCAGATATCTGTCTGAAGGAGGTTCCCTCTATAGCAGACAGTGTGTACAACATCCAGCTACTGAAAGAGTTTTCGAATGAATACCTGAACAAATGCTTCTATCTGACACCTGAGGACATGCTGTATTCTCCACCAGTACTAAAGGTGAACCCAAAAACAGGAACCAGAAAATACTTGATCCAACGACATTATGATGTCTTTATATTGACCTTGATCATTGTGTCTTTCAGAATAATGTGATGGTCTTTATTGCTGAGCTCTTCTGGTGGTTTGAGAGTGTGAAGCCAGAGTTTGTTCAGCCCAGGGACCTTCAAGAAATCAGAGATGGTATAACATGCACTTTACTTTGATATATTTTTGTAATTTACTGAGCTGCTGCTGGCTCTTTCAAACAGTAGTGTGCTATGTAATGGCTTGGACAAATTGCCCACGTGAGCAGTGCGTGACTGCAACCTTGCTGAACTCCTGCAGTGGAACTCCTGTGGTGTACACACAGAGAGCGTTTCTGCTGCTGCGCTGCTGCTGCCAGCCCTCTCTTCCTACACTGAGTTTGCCTTTGATACAATACAATAAAAGCCTTGTTAACAAATGACTGGATTCGGTCCACAGAAACACTAGAGGGCTTTTAATCTGAAATGTATACAGAAGGTGTTGAGTTAAATATGTCTGTGACATGTGATGCAGATATAGACACTGAAACTGTTGTAAAAGGTGTATATGTCGCCGGTTTAATGTCAGTATGACTATGAACAGATCCTTTTCACTGTCTATTTTAGCCGGGTACTGCATGCTCTTTTTTAACTCTTGAAAAAATAGGCGAGAGCTCTATTCTAGTGAAGCGCAGCTGCAGCCACGCCTAAGACCTCATGCCTCATGCCGCCTGTGACTGCTCTAACCTGTGCACATGGGCACTAAAAAGCAAGGTGTTCCGCGATGCACAGGTGCTGCTGCAGATGTGGACAGTGTGTCCAGGCTGTTACAGCATCCCTTCTAATGGCTAATCTCTCTTTCTACCATGTTTGTAGTGAGATTGCTGCTGCAGCCTAAGAGTTCACGGCCCCATGTTCCCATCTCCAATGTCACTAAGCGTAGTTTCCTGACATCATCGAACTCTGCTGACACCTTGACCACACCCCTGAGCCCGGACCTCAGGTATTATCCAGTAACTGTGTATTCCAGTAACACCGTACAAGAACAGTTTTACTTTCAAGTTACAGGTTTACTGATATACTGTAGTTTTTTTTAGATCAGAGTTCTGAGAAAGGCCCCATGCCTAAACCTTGTTTTAGTTTTTTATTGATGTCTGCACATTTGTATGCTTGTAATGTAAAACTTACATGAGTCTTACCACTCATACACTAGTAAGTATGGTAAAATACAAAAATATGAACAGCCTCCATGTGTGATGTACATTTAAATCTTACTTCAGTAATTTTCTAACTTTAAGACCAGCAGTTTTTGGCCATTATCACAGTACTTTATGCCTCTGATCTTAACATATGAAAAAAATAATAATAAAAACTTCACACTACATTAGCGTTAGTATATACATTATTTGAGATACACATTATTAGAGTTTTATTAGGAAATATTTCTCAGTATAATAACATTTTTTTCTTATTTCAGCAGCTTAACTTTAAAAGTCAAATCTCTTTGTTCTTCCCTTACAGCACAAAACCAGACTCATTAAGCCCTTCTCACTCTTTACTGCCGCTGAGACAGAGACAACAGAAAGTGGCTGAGGAAAGCACTTCAGGTAATATAAAAAAATTACTCAGCCTCCTCAAGTCACAAACAAATTCTTTAAACACTGAAAAGGGAGAGGGAAGATAGAGAGTAGGAAGAACTTCTGATTGTTCTTTGAAGGTGAAATGTTGTATCGTTCCTTATTTGAACGTCCACTTCAAACAAAAAAACAAGGTACTTGATGAGTTGTAAATTAAATAATTTCACCTGTATGTTTAGTGGTGTAACATTTCAAAGTAGTGCACTTCTTCTGTTATATCAGTTGTTTGAGGTCAGTTTTATATTCTATCTTGAGAGTTCATTCTCCAATGAATGTTATGAAAATCGTCCACAATTAATTTAACATGTTTGAGAAGTCCTTTTTGTAATATGGATCATATTTTCTTTGTACAGAACTGAGAAATAGGTCCAACTCTATGGCGCGTACAGATACAGGCTCAATACTGGCCTGGCCGGAGAGGAGGCCGAGGTGAGTAGTGTGATTACAGCCTTTACAATTACTGTACTGACTATGGTTGCATTTCATATGTCAGCAGGTTCCGATATAACAGACAACGGTTGTTTCATGATTCATTATCCTTAGCTCACATTAATCGATTACTCCCTCTACCCCTGTCCAGGCCTTTATCCCAGCCGGGGCCCTACGCTCTGCATTGTCCCCTGGAGGATGATGCAGACAATATTAGCCTAGCTCGCTCCATCAGCAAAGACAGCTTGGCCTCCAATATTATGAGCATCACCCCAAAACACATCCTGGGGACGTGTCCTCAACTGCCTCCACACCGACTCAGTGGTCAAAGCCTGCTTAGTCACATGCGCATAGAGGATGAGGAGGAGGAAATAGAAGAGGAGGAACTGGTTGCTGTAATCCACCCGTCTGCATTTTCACGGCGTCGACTTGGGAGTGACATGGAACAGGATGAGCTGGAAATCCAGAGTGCGCCCTCCACGTCAAGGGTTTCTAATACTCGTTGCTCTCCTCGTCTTGACTTGGGTCCCTTTACTCCCGACCGCCAGGCAGACAGCTACTATCTGGAGCCTTTGATGCCTGCCATCCCTAAGCCAGCCAAAGAGAAGAGCATCAGCCTGAACAAGGAGGAGGAGAGTGGTGAGAGTCGCTGTAGAGGAGCAGCAGCAGCTGCTAGGAAAGCAACCACCAATGTCCCAAGCACCTCACAGAGGAAATCCCCCGTAGCTGAGTCAAACAGAAGTACCTTTACGCCCATACCTGTGGCAGACGCATTCCCTAGCTCTCTGAGGCCACCCACAGAGGGGTCGATAGGCATCTCTCAGTCTGGAAACAAACAGTCCCATGGCTTTTTCCTTCATTTGTCAGGAGAGCCAGAGACCCATAGTCCTTTCTCCACTGCGATGGAGGTCGGGCATGACTCTGACTCTGACATTGCAGACCTTGAGGAAGATGAGGAGGAGGACGATCAGCTGGAGCTGACTAAAGAGGTGGTGAAGAGAGGAAAGGGAAAATACTTAGAGGAAGGAGAGGTGTGTGAGTTTGGAGAGGGAGATGGTGAGTCAGTGAAACTGAGAGAAGACTCGAAGGTTAGTGAGAGGGACGATAAGGAAGACTGCAGTGGACGCTCTAGTCCTTGCCTCAGCACCATATCCTGGGCGAGCAGCTGCAGCGCTTCAGGCAGCACCAGTGTCAAGATGACCAGCTTTGCAGAGAGAAAGCTCCTTAAACTTGGTCTCCGTGATGGATACTCAAGTACCAGCAGCTCTCAGAAGACCACACCAGATGGCTCTGAGGTTGCGCCCTTCCCTCCCTGGCAACTGAGGAGTGACTGTACCTCTAGCTGGACAGGGAAGGAGCCTATTTCTGTGCTGGGGAAGAATATGGTGGTGAGTCCCTCAGTAGTGCCTTCAGAGCTGCTGCAACTTCACATGCAGCTAGAAGAGCAAAGACGTGCTATTGAGTATCAGAAGAAGAAGATGGAGACCCTATCGGCGCGGCAGCGACTAAAGCTAGGGAAAGCTGCGTTCTTGAACATTGTTAAGAAGGGTGGGGGGAAGAGTGATACACTTCCCCTGCCCCTGAAACACTCTGAATCTGTAGAACTAGCTGACAAGAGTAGAGTGAAGCCCCAGTCCTGCAGGGATGACTCCTGTCTTGATGCTCTGAAGGTCCAAGCAAAGGCAGGTCAAACAGAGGGAGGGCAGATGAAAAGAGACAACAGGTTAAAGACCCTGTCTCAGGATAATGTGGCTGAACCTGACTTGAATGAGTGTTCCCACTCCATAGATTTACTCAATGAAGCTATTAGTTCCATTCAGCACCAGATGATGCAGCTCTCTTTGCAGCAAGATCTGCTGATGAAGCGTGTGGTGTCACCTCCAGAACGTGTAGAATCCGTCCCGAGCACAACCCCAGATACAACCCCAGACACAACCCCTGTCATAACCCCTGTCATAACCCCTGTCATAACCCCCGACACAACACAATCAACATCCACTACCTCAGACTCCAGATCCTTTGCTGTTCACTTTGTAGAAATCAGTGGCAGCAACTCTGCCCCTGCTCGCCGTCCTCCCAAGCTTAGTTCCAGCCAACGCAGCAAAGCCTCGGAGCAAAAACATATTCAAGACAACAGCAAGACGGCTCCTGTAAAGACCAATGCTCAGTCCCCTAGAGAAAATTCTGGTGGAGACCAGAAGACAGGGAGTATTGTGGATAGCTCCAGGCTGGAGAGAAGCATTCAGAGAAACACCACCTTCAGAGTTGACCCCAACCAACACAGCAGCGGAGAGGGAACTGAGCAATCCCTGGACAAAATGCAATCACAGGACCCACAAGTCATCTCCAGTACATCAATGTCTCCCTCACAGGCTGCAGAACAAGAAGAGAACAATGTTACCAACTCAGGGAAAGAGGCTGCGGGTGGAGATGAGAATACTAAGGTGAAGGGTCAACTGATTGAGGTTGACCTATCAGGTCAGCTTAAGGAGGATGGCAGTGCAGATGTTACAGACGGCACAGCAGAGGGCGAGCAGAAGAATATGCTGGGGTTCTTCTTTAAGGTATAATTCAGGAATTCTGCATTTTTATGTGTGCACTGTGAGCGAAGCATAGCTACTAACTTAAAGATGATTGCTGCTTTTTATCTTCTAGGATGATGAGAAAGCAGAGGATGAAATGGCGAAACGTCGTGCTGCCTTCCTCCTCAAACTGCAACGCAAAGCTGAAGAGTCGAGACTACGCAAACAACAGCAAGAAGCCGAGAGTGAGCTCAAACGTGATGAGGCCAGGTAAGTTTTCATTTCACACACTCACAAATTGATTATTAGGAGAAGGAACTGTCTAAGTCTGCAGGTATGTGTGCAGGGCCGTATCTTTGTCATGTAATTAAATTCTCTGTCTTAACTCTCCTTCCCTCTCATCAAGGCGTAAAGCAGAAGAGGACCGTGTTCGTAAGGAGGAGGAGAAAGCGCGACGAGAGCTTATAAAGCAGGAATACCTGCGGAGGAAGCAGGAGGCGTTGATGGAAGAGCAAGGTCTGGTCAAGCCTCGCCCACGCACTAAGTCCCGCAGGAACAGGCCTAAATCACTGCATCGCGAAGAGTCCAACAGCCTCTCCAAAGGATCCACCACACGTAAGAACACCTTTAGTACTTAAACAGTGTACATTTTGTCTAGTGCTCCATGTTTTATTTGTTGTCAGCTTAGAGTAGTGTGTCTGCATGCTGTTGTATCATCTGTTTAGCTGTGTGTGTGCGTGTATTTTCAGTTTATTTCACCTTGTGTAGACTCATCGTCATCCTCTGAGTGTCTACATGTGTGTTATGCAGGTAATTCTCTGAAGGTGTCCATGTTGATCAAAGCGAAGGGCTCAGCAGCAGGCAGCAGGGGAGGTGAACCTTCTAACCTGCTCTGCATGATGTTAATATCAACCATACACAGCCCATTCAAACAATTAATGCAATAAACCCTTGGAGTGTCAGCTATAGATTACATACTAGGAAGATAAATATTAGTACTCAATTCTGACTTATTCATTTTGTTGTTGCCTGTTACGCAACTTTTTTATCCCTTGTTTTATTCACAGGGTTGTACTCTGTATTTAGAGTAACATTACATTATTCATTTGGGTCACTGCTTGTCAGTACAGTACATACAGTAGAACTGGTGTGGAATGGATAAACAATAGTGTTATTTTGTTTATTTAAGCAACTTAATCCTGCTGTCGCTGTCATTTTCAGCTGATCTGAGCTACAGTCATCTAGGATCGACGCTCTCTTTGGCGACTGAGGCTGACAGTGTCATCTCCGGAGGGGCGGAGTCACAGAGGTGAGACCTCCCATGTTGTGTGTATGTGTGGGGGATAATCTCTTCCAATCTTGTCCACCCATGTAGTCATCTGATTGACCTATAAGTGTGCCTTGCAGGGCTGGATCTGTGTGCTCTATGGAGTCGTTCCCTATGCTGAGCAGGGCGTCTAGCAGGAACATGGAGAGGGACTGGGAGAACGGCTCTATAGCCTCGTCCATCACGTCAATGGAGTACAATGGTGAGCACAAATGCAGAGAAAGACTACATATTTATTTACCCGTCGCCATCACAAAGCAAACTTTTGTGCAGAACATTTCCTAACCAAGGCTTAAGATGATTTTGTCACTTGCTTTAAAGAAATAGTTTGTGAAATGTGCTTATTTGCTTTCTTTTTTGCATAGAGTTAGAACAATATCACTCCAATACCTGTGCAGTAAATATGGAATCCAGAGCCAGCAGCTGATTAGCTTAGAATTTAACACGTTAATTCCGACAAAAAAAAAGACAAAATGTAAAAACAGTAACTTGTGGTTTTTCCTTGGGAACTCTCAGTCTTTATGCTAAACTAAGCTTATCGATTCCTGGTTCCAGCTCCATACTAATTACATGGAAATGAAAGTGGTACTTATCTTCTCATCTAACTTGTATGCATGTTTCCCAAAACTATTTCTTCAGACACTTACAGACACATATCATATTAATCGTTTTGTTACATCTTGATTGTTAAAGGTCCTAAACTCTTCAAGGAGCCGAGCTCAAAGTCCAACAAGCCAATCATCATCAATGCCATCGCTCACTGCTGTCTGGCTGGAAGGGTTAATGAGGGTCAGAAGAATGCTGTTCTAGAGGTCAGTGTGATCACTTGAAATGTATTTATTGGTGATTAATTATTGTGAAGATGCAGAAGTTATGCCACTTTTTTTGCTCATGTTTGGCTGTATTCAGAAAGGTTTTGTGTCTGTGTCATTGATCACAGGAGCTGGAGAAGTGCGAGTCCAATCACCTTATCATCCTCTTCCGCGACGGTGGGTGCCAGTTCCGCGCCATTTACTCTTACTCACCCGACACCGAGGAGATCATCAAGTTCACAGGCACAGGACCACGCGCCATCACCCGGAAGATGATCGACAAGCTCTACAAATACAGCTCGGACCGCAAGCAATTCAACGTCATCCCTGCCAAGTCTGTGTCCGTCAGCGTGGACGCCCTGACCATCCACAATCAGCTCTGGCAGGTCAAGAGACCAGGGAGTGCAAGGAGGAAGTGAGAAAGAGGAGGAGTGAAAGAAAACACTGGTTATAGTTTGTGTTTTATCTACTACTGTTGGGCGGGACCCAATAATCTCTGAGATGATTGACATGCGATCATGTGAATGACATGTCATTAGACAGGTGGAGTTAGATGTTCTTATTAATGGAGATGTCAGTCTGTGGCAGCGCGAGAACATGAAACTCCTGCCAGCTGAATGCTCTAACATTTTTTTTTGTTTTATTTTCGTCTTATTAGCTTTTTATTCTGCATGTCACACTTTTATGTTTTGATTTGTGGATACGTCCTACATTAATTAGGCACCACTGACGATGGATTGATTCTTATGTAGCAGTGAAGAGACGGACCCTCGAGTCGAATACCACTGAGTCTACTTACTACTGATACCAAGTGCAACTACAGACAGGTAGCGGTGAACATTAACTCGATGATGTCTTGTAAGCTATTTCAGCTTGGCAAAAAATACCCTACTGCTGTGATTAATCCAGGCTCCACATACAGAGCCCCTATTATTCACCGGTAACTACTACTGGTCAGTGCTTTTCTGAAGAGGGAGCTTTGAGCAAACTTTTTTATGTGAGTATGGAATGGATGTCAGTGAGTGGTAATGTCCAGTCTTGTTTTCTATTTAGTGTGTTTGGGGAAGTGTGTGAGTCTTTGTGTCAGGGAAGGGGAGAGCTGAATGCCTGTGCATCCTGCTCTGAATGTGTTTTCTCACTCTCTTGATTATGCTTTAACAACATCTATCATGCAACAGAACAATGGAGCAAAGCAACAAAACTGTTTTCTTTTTAGTTTTTTGGAAGCTATGTGTTGCCGTTACAGTGGAAGAGAAATAATGTTTTTACAGTTGGGGGAAATTATACTAGTATTTATTCCAAACAGGAAGCGCTTTTGAGACTCAGTGCATTATACCCTTTCAGTAGTGCATTATATTGTATTAACTTCATACTTATATTCCACCACCCATATGAGCCATCTGAGATCCCAGAGACTGGCTCATATTGCTGAACCAAAATTAACTGAGCTGTGCCACTGAGCTTTTTGTTGCTCATTAACTGCTCAAAGGATTCTGGTGAGATGTACAATTTCAATGTAGCTTCTGGCGCTGAACACTAGTAATTTCCCTGTAATGACTGACTGTCAGCAGCTGGTATAACGTGGGGAGGGGGGAAACTGCACAATACTTGATATTTGTTTGCTGCATTTTGTACATTTTTGAGTAGTATTTTTTGTACATTACGTACAAGTTATGTTTACTAAAGAGCAGGCACTATTTTGAGGTTTATTCTGTTACAGGCTTTCAGAGATGTTACGAGTCTTATTTCATTGTGTTATATTTTATGTTTATTTATTTTAAAGAGATATAATAAAATGCAACTAGGTATGTTTTCTGATGAAATGTGTGTGTTTGCTCAAGTTATTGGGTCTGTGTGCATTTTTGTGTGTATACAGTGTGTGCATCTGGTGCTTGCTCTTTCTTTGACCATCTGCCATCACTTTTCACTCTCTTCTTTTTCTTTTTCTATCTGGCTCTGTTTCTCTGTTGTCCTCTATTCTCCCTCTTTATCTCTGGATGTGGTAGAGATTAGAGAGTATTTATGAAATGTCTGTAAGGTCATAAACCATAGTTACGCTCATATATAAATTACTATACACTATTATGCACAATCACACTCATACACACTTCTGTTTGGGCCATAAATAATTTCTACTACACAGACAAAACAAGATATAACATGTTCATTTCAAGAAAGTTGCCAAGAAAGTGGATATGTGTATCTCCAAAAACCCTAACCCTGCAATTTTTTGTAATTTATGACCACTTGGTGACAGTGGAAACCAGATATATATTAACATTAAATATGGGGAACTCTGCTTATTCAACTGTTTTGAACATTATCATTCATTTTCAGTGGGGGGTTTTTGCCATGACTCTAATATTAATTCTCTTTTAGCGCTATTATTAGTTTATACCGACACCTGAGGTGGCCCTTCAGATGTGGAAACCTCCACCATGTTCAGCAGACGATATCTGTGTCTGTCTGCTGTTTGGTGATAAGGAGGAAGTGTTCAGTGGGATGTTAGAGCTTTTTCACTGAAAACAGCTGCCTGCTGCGGGCCAAAAATGACGCTGTAGGAGTGAACCGAAACTAAAGTTTACCAGCATTTGTTAGCAGAAAGCAGTGTACACGCTATAAACACTACTTTTGTTCCAATGCAGAAAGCATTAATTTCATACTCAAATAAAGTGGCAGACAGAAACTGTATAGTAAATAGGCAGGGTCGGATATGAAGAAATATTACAGATGAAAATTTGCTTTTTAGCTATATCTGGTACAATATATGTATTGTACATTGCCCCTGCTAAATAAACATTAATTAATGAATTAAAAATGAATACATTTATTGGGTGGCAAGAGGGTGGACTGGAGACTTTAAGGGGTGGCAGAAATATACATATGCTGATTTAATCACATATATCAATAGTTGCTTGGAAAAGCCTCCAAATGAAAAAAAAATCCTAAAAAATATCACATTATTGAGGCACATCAGTAAAGCATTGAATAGAAATATCTAAAGTTAGCTTTAGAAATCAATAAATTGTTTTATTTCCAAATCTTCAGACATTTTTCCAAATACATACTGTATCCGTTCTGTTTTTTAAAATCAATATAAACTAATGTGTTAAATTTGACACCAAACTGGAGGTAGTTAGATCTGCCTCTGTAAATAGGTGGTGTTTTTAGACAGCCATGCTTTTACAAGTCATGGTGATTCACCATTTCTCTCTCTTGTTGTTTATTCTTCCACATCAAATATATATCAAGCCCCTACACCCACAGTTAAATCACACAGGTGTTTTCACTTGAGTTGTCTGATTAGACCTCGTCTCCAGTTTTGAGTGCCAGTTCTGTGACTCAACTTCAACTAGTCACGCAGCTCCTTCCTTCTTGTTTCACATAATTATTTCTTTTCACCCGTCGCTCTTTGTTTCGCCTTCCTGTTTTCCATTAACAAGAACTTTTCTCTCACCAATTATTCCACCTTTTATTTTGGTTTTGGTTTTTTTCATACAGTATGTTTCATACAGACCTCTATCGTCTTCTGCTTATCATTTAGGACGACAACAAGAACAAATCTACTCTGAGCTTAGACTGTTTCCTTGGCCATCCTTGTGTGCCAAATTAAACTGACCAGTCATGAATAGTCTGTATGGTAATTTTAGAAAGGCTCACTCTTGCAGACACCAAGTCCAAGAAATTACCTGTACACCTCTGAGTTATAGTTGTGTAGCCATGCATGTTTTTTGTACTGAATGTGAACATAATGCTAACATGGTAATGTTAAAGGGGCATTAACTGCCAGGTTAAGAAAGGAGAATATTTTGGTTAAAATAAGTACGTTAATTAGGTGAGTTACGTATATAAGTTGTGTGTTTTTGGAAAAAAACAGGAATTTGTTTGAGAGGATAACAGGCTGTTGGACAAATGGGCTTTTGGTTAATAGGACTATTGGGGTTTTGGAATAATGTATCTGTTGTCATGGTGAGGTCACCAGGCAACCAGCAGAGACGCCAGGAAATCAACAAATAGTCCAGCACATAACCTCGAGGAAGACCACAACTTTACACTTTGGGTAGAGATTAAACAAATGATTATAAGATCTTAATTTATGAGCTTTCGAGGTGCTGGTACGCAGATGTTTGGACAGAGCCTGGTTCGCTGTTTCCCCATTTCCACTCTATTCTAAAAGCTAAGCTGTCTGTAGCTTCATGTTCAGCATATCGTGTGGTATTGATCTCACTGAATCCCCCAAAATCTCAAACTGTTCCTCTAAATTGCCATTCCCAGGTTAAAGACATGTAACAATACTAAGACAAAATTATTGGACACAGAACAGTTTCAATGTGCTTTTTCATAATATAGCACTTTAATGTGCAAATCAAAATAAAATGAAACTCAGGTACAAATATTTTCCACATTTAAATATGTATGAAGTCAAAGAGTCAAAGTCAAAAATTCTTGTATACAGAATGAAGCATTTTAAAAATACATTCCTTGCCCTAACAGCCACAAATGTAAATTAATAAGCAACTTCTTTCACCGAGCAGTGCTGAAAGTAAAATGAGGTTTTCTGATTACTAATATAGTACAAATCAAATAAATCCTTCATGGCACAGTACTGAATATATGGCATGTCCTGTTTAAAGGCTTGAAATAAGCTATTGTAGTGCAAAAAACCTCATTCAAACTAAGAAATGTACTGCAGCGAACATATAACCATCATTGTCTGTACATAACTTACTAATTAAGACCTCTACACCACTGAATAACAACTTCTATGGTTCAGCTACAAAAAAAAGCTTTAAAGGAAAGCTTTAATGCACATATTTTATGTAAGTCATACAGTGTTGAATGTTATGTTTGATTTTTTTTACGTGATAGGTGGTAAACGTGTGTATGGCCCAGGGAAAATTAGAATATGTGCATCTGATTTCTGGTAATCTCAAAAGATCAAGAAAGGCAGATAAATCCTGAGCCACTGACCTCTGCATCAACAAAAATATCTGATCTTGATGTTCAGCTTGTACTTTACCTGAGGGAGCCGCGACCCAAAAGAGCAGAAACAGAATATAGAATTCACTCCGAAATTTAGGAGGTTTCAATGACAATGAAAATCACTTTTGTGTGGTCATTCAGATTAACTCTAACCGAGGGCAACACTGCTAGTTGTGTTAGCAAAATTCATTTGTTAACAAGCTTGTCCATGAGTGCTCATCTGAGAGTGCTTTCACAGACATGAATACACGATTCTTACATAACAGTGTCTGTGGCAAGAGGATGAAAATGTCACAGATGACATGTCAAATGTCATCTGCCAAACAGTAGGCACTCATATAATACAGTTGTACACTGCAGTGCTGGAACATTGTAGCACAAATAGTCCTCTTTCACATTGGACGAGCATGGACGCAGCCAGACCCCCATTACATCTGATTATGTAGGCGTGTACCAGTGAAGGTCAGCATGGTATCAGAGCTGGGTGTCCTCTCTGGTGTCTATGCTGGACTCGCGTCTCTCTTTCAGGCTGCTGCTGTGGATCGGAGGCTCCTCTGGGACATGAGCCAGAGGGTCTGAACGAATCAAGTACCTGAAAGAGGAAGAGAGAGCAAAAGGGCAGGTAAAGAATGGAGACAACAGTGGGTCAATTGTAAAGAGTTGCCACACGGGATTGATCCCTGCTCGTTAATCCTTCACTGCAGACTTCACGCTCTTAGCCGTGAAAGGCACGAGGAGCTTAATAAACAAATAAACTGTGGTATGCACTCGCCACTCTCCATCATGAACAGGAAAACAGCCGTCGCCATGGATACTGATAGGTGCCTTGCTCGCTCAGCTGTTGTGTTAGAATATATGTTTCCCTGTAATTGCATATTATTTCAAAAATAATGTGAAACAAAATTGGTAGTGACTGTTTGTGAAGCAGTATGTGTTTTTATGGGGGTAGCGGACCAAGTTGTAAACACAACACTGACATATTATCCCCTTATAAAGAACTTATACTGAATGTGTAATCAAATAACTGCCTATTTACACATCCAGAAGACAGAGCAACAGTACTATCAATATTCTGGCCAACCTTTTAGCTCTGTTTTGGTCTCCACCACCTGCTGAAGGCTCTTTAACTGCTATAAATGCTCCAATATGTTCAACAGCTAGTCACTAACTTTCTTTGCTCTCTTTGTTTGATGCTGAGCGGGTAATGTACAGTGGGGTTTTAGAGCTTTTATGCTGAAAAAGGCCCACTGCTGTTTCTGGGGGAAAAAAAGGTTGATAAGTCACCCAAACAAGTGTCAGGTAAATAAGTCTCTGTAATTCCATCCATTGATAATATAGAAATATGAATATGAAGTTTTAATGTACTATGAGATAATGGGTAAAAGGAAGTTATCATGTGAGTTTTTTCCATCAAACTGCTTTGATTATCACCAACCTGGCAACCTCTGTCTCCAGCAAATGAAGCCAACAAGAAAGTAACAAAAAGTGCAGTTCCTCAAAACGGCCACTTGAGGCTGGCTACAGAATTGATCATTCTCCATAAGGTGCCATGTAAAAATGCCCACCTCTACAGCAGAAATAAACATGTTTACAGCCTGGTTGAAAATACGGTTTTGGTCTCTGCCTCATTCGGCCCACCTCAGCTCCATTTTTGGATTATGATTATCACTTGGATTAATTTCAGCAAAATGTTGACAGTAATACACATGCAAGAACAAAATAAAATAGCTTTGAGAAAGCTGAGAAATTAACTAATAATAATACCAGTGGTAAAAATAAGTACATTTTATTCACGTCTGTTGCATTTGGTTTGTATGTCTATTTATTATAAACACACACA